TGCCAGTTAAACACCTCTTTGGAATATCCTGAGAATTTCAGGAATCTAGTTCTGATCTCACAATTTCAAACTCTTTTTTTTTTGTTTATCCCGAGCACATGTGGTACAGGCCATGATAATAATGGGATATACATGTATTTTTTACCCCATCACTTGAGTACAAATACCTAAATACTGCATTGTTTAGTATGTCTTGTGACAATTCTACATGATTATCATGGGATATACATGTATCTTTTACCCCATCATTGAGTACAAATAACTAAATATTGCACTATTTTGTATGTATTTGACAATTTTACATGATTATCATGGGATATACATGTATTTTTACCCCATCACTGAGTACAAATACCTAAATATTGCACTATTTTGTATGTATTGTGACAATTTTACATGATTATCATGGGATGTACATGTATTTTTACCCCATCATTGAATACAAGTGACTAAATATTGCACTATTTTGTATGTATTGTGACAATTTTACATGATTATCATGGGATGTACATGTATTTTTACCCCATCACTGAGTACAAATACCTAAATAATGCACTATTTAGTATGTATTGTGACAATTCTACATGATTATCATGGGATATACATGTATTTTTTACCCCATCACTGAGTACAAATACCTAAATATTCCACCATTTTGTGTATATTGTGACAATTTTACATGTGTAAGATTGTGCCATGATTATCATGGGATTTTATCCCATCACTGAGTACAAGTAACTAAATATTCCACCATTTTGTGTATATTGTGACAATTTTGTAAGTGACAGATTTAATTCCATTTCTGAAGATTAAACATTTCAAAAAGAGAGGCTGAAAATATCCAGTTGTCTCTTTTTCCCAGTAATATATACAGTTAAACCTGTCTATAGCACCCCCTCTAAATAGTGCCTCCCTCTCTATAATGCCCGATTTTAAATACGTAGTACGATGATATTTACATTATAAGTGACCTATCTATAGCACCCTATTTTGGTGAGTCCCAAGAGGGGGGCGCTATAGACAGGTATAACTCTATATTTTTCCTTCTAAGGTAATATGGCCAAATCCTCCCAATAAATAAATTGCAAGTGATGATTGGGTAACAAGGTTGTTACCATCTTCAGACGAAAGTACTGTAGCAACGTAAAGTACGATAACAACGCTGTTAACAGTATGTAAAGTATGCTGTTACAGAAACTTCACACACTATTTATTTATTTGGATTTGGTCTTATTATACCTTGTGTTTATAATCTACTAGCCGAATGACCCGGGCAACGCCCGTGTTTTACCCGATTGAATGTTTTGATTCAAATACTATTTGTTACAATTATAAATTGGCGCCTTAAATAATTGCATATGTTAGTTAATAACTATAGCCTATGTGCTTTATCTGTCGTTACATGTCGGGCATGTATATCGGCCGTTCCAATAATATGCTATACAACATAGTGTTACACAATCAGTACTTACACCTATACTTTCGATATTTGCAGACCTATAATGAGGTATTGTTAACAATAGATTATTTAAGGAGCGACCCGCTCCAACACAGTAGTTACAAAAACAACAAAGCGAGTGGGGGGGGCAAAGGTGGCGTGACCATAGCAAACCAATAGGAGGGCGCCATTCCAAAAAAAAGGAGAACGGTGACAGAGATGAAAACTGATTGATTATTGATTAGGAGATGAGGAATGACGCTCGTAACTGTATATAGAATAATCCAAATTGTACCTTATCATTTTTTTAAACCTCGAATATACAAATAATTATTTTTATATTGATTAAAAATTTTTTTTATTAAGAATTGAATTATTTTGTGTTATTATTAACACAAGGTATTAAGACCAAATTCAAATAAATAGTGTGTGACATTTCAGTAACAGCATTGTTACTGAAACATCACACACTATTTATTTATTTAGATTTGGTCTTATTACCTTGTGTTTATAATCTATAATCCAAATTGTGTCTTATCATTGTGTTATTATTAATAATTATTGTGATAATATAGTTTTGAGCATTTACAAAAATAGTCATGTCTAATATGTGTGTTATAAATCACATAATAAAGTTTTTCTACATGTTTTTACCTATTACTTTACAGTTTGTCAATTGTAAATTTCACAGCCATGTACATCACACTATTGGATCTATTTTATGTATGTGAATTGTAAATTTCATGATCTTGTATACAATACTATTTATTCACAAAGTAATATATATTAAAAATGGCATATCCTGACCAGGAGCACATGTGCTTTACAGAATCAATGTTTAGTTGATTTCTGTTCCACCAGGTGGCGCTCTGCCTTCTGTAAAGCACATGTGCTCCTGGTCAGGATATGCCATTTTTAATATTGATTTCAACACCTGATCTTTTTATCTTTTATTTTTTTCTTTCGTTTTTTAATGTGCTAAGCGTATTTACGCAAATTTGGCCTTAAATACCCATTTCTTGGTTTTTAAGGAAGCCATTGGGATCAAAAAATCTTTTTTGGTCGCAATGGTTTAGCCTACTCCACGCTGACGAGCGCCAAAAGCGCGAAACGTGTTCGTGGATGGCTTTTCTTGATTTATCAAGAAATTGGGTTGGCCAAATATCAGGCAACAGGCTAAATCAATGTTTAGTTAATTTCTGTTCCACAAGATGGCGCTCTGCCTTCTGTAAAGCACATGTGCTCCTAGTCAGGATATGCCATTTTTAATATTGATTTCAACACCTGATCTTTTTATCTTTTATTTTTTTCTTTCGTTTTTTAAAGTAATATATATATATATAACACCAAATTCAAATATATATATATATTTTTTAAATTATCCCTACTACACGTAGTACAGGCCATGATAATCATGGTGGGTAGTTAGCGACTGCTTTTACTGTAAGCGCACAACATGTCTACACATGTGAAAGCAGTTAGACTTTGTACTTACAAATGTGCCAGAGCCCCATTTGTTTACTTGCACTCGCTGGTGGGGTTGGACTTTTGCAAGAATCGGGGGCCATTGGAGCATTTTTTTAAATCAGAAAAAAGTGTCCAATGCGGGAATCGAACCCGGGTCGTAGTGGTCGAAAAGCAAACGGTTTAACCAGCCTTCCACCGACCCCCTCATTCAAATAAATAAATAGATAGTGTTGTGACAGTTCAGTAACAGCATTGTTACCATCATCAGATAAAAGTACTAACTGAGAAAAAATAGTATGTATTTTTGAATAGTACTGCTATCACATGCTGTGATATTTTCCTTATTCAGTACTTTTGTGTGATGATGATAAAGCTGTTACCAAAATGTCACACATTATTTATTTATTTATGTTTTTAATCGATAATCCAAATGGTACCTAATCAATACAACTGGATCCTTTTAAAATGTTTTATGGTGTGAAAGGAGTTATATCAGGATGCTAAATAAGATGTCAACATTTACCTTGTAAATATTATCATTATTGTTTTTGGGGCCTTTCTAGCTGAGTTTGACTTTTAGCTCTTAACATCAGGAAGTATCTATAGATATATCTGGGTAGAGTCCTCCTCCATAGTACCATGAGATCGGGGTAGTTTCCTGACCCCAGCTCTAACATCAGGAAGTATCTATAGATACATCTGGGTAGAGTCCTCCTCCATAGTACCATGAGATCGGGGTAGTTTCCTGACCCCAGATCTAACATCAGGAAGTATCTATAGATACATCTGGGTAGAGTCTTCCTCCATAGTACCATGAGATCTGGGTAGTTTCCTGACTCCAGCTCTAACATCAGGAAGTATCTATAGATACATCTGGGTAGAGTCCTCCTCCATAGTACCATGAGATCGGGGTAGTTTCCTGACTCCAGCTCTAACATCAGGAAGTATCTATAGATACATCTGGGTAGAGTCCTCCTCCATAGTACCATGAGATCGGGGTAGTTTCCTGACCCCAGCTCTAACATCAGGAAGTATCTATAGATACATCTGGGTAGAGTCCTCCTCCATAGTACCATGAGATCGGGGTAGTTTCCTGACCCCAGCTCTAACATCAGGAAGTATCTATAGATACATCTGGGTAGAGTCCTCCTCCATAGTACCATGAGATCGGGGTAGTTTCCTGACCCCAGCTTTAACATCAGGAAGTATCTATAGATACATCTGGGTAGAGTCCTCCTCCATAGTACCATGAGATCGGGGTAGTTTCCTGACCCCAGCTCTAACATCAGGAAGTATCTATAGATACATCTGGGTAGAGTCCTCCTCCATAGTACCATGAGATCGGGGTAGTTTCCTGACCCCAGCTCTAACATCAGGAAGTATCTATAGATACATCTGGGTAGAGTCCTCCTCCATAGTACCATGAGATCGGGGTAGTTTCCTGACCCCAGCTCTAACATCAGGAAGTATCTATAGATACATCTGGGTAGTTTCCTGACCCCAGCTCTAACATCAGGAAGTATCTATAGATACATCTGGGTAGAGTTCTCCTCCATAGTACCATGGGATGGGGGTTGACCCCAGCTCTAACATCAGGAAGTATCTATAAATAATATTCCAGGAAGGTACATTAATATTAATGTACTGTTTCAATTTAACTCTAACTTTGATTTTTTTTTTGCAGGTATTCTACTAAGCAAGTTTGATGAAAATTATTCTGACTCCCAATATGAACAACTTTGAAAGGTTGTTCCAATTTTATAAATGAAGTTGGAATTAGTGAAAGTGTATCACTTCAAGCTCTAACTCCACCAAATGATTCGTAAAACTTTCTATTTGAAGATATTTACAATTCACAAATGACAAGGTAACACGACCATTATCTATTGTAAAGTAATACTTAAAGCCTCCCCGCATAAGTTTATTTTTTTTTGTGAAAATCAATATTAATTTCAAAGAGAAATATATACTATTTCTAACTTTTTGGATGACGTATGAAAAGGTTGAATATATGAAGAGTAATGGTCTATATATGATTGGATGACGTATGAAAGGGTGAAAATGTGAAGAGTAATGGCGAACGGAAAAATAAAAGTGTCCAGGGGCGGGAATCGAACCCACAACCTTCTGCTTACCGGGCAGGTGCCATGTCCACTAGGCTCATACTAGGTTAAGGTGAATATCATCAGATGTTCAAGGATGAGTTTATGCTTAATTGAATAGCATTCTTATGATCCAAACAACCTGGATTGAGGTTCTTTGATTCCATTAGTTGAGAATTTTCTTTATATGTTCTTTCTTGGAAAATTCTACTTTATAAATAGTCTTTAAATATATATATATTGCCAACTATATATTTAAAATATTATTATCACATAGAGTATAGAATCTTAATAAAAATAAACTACCCATAAAGGATACCTCTCTACAAAGGACTGATTTTATCATTAAAATGATCATTTTTACACCAATTAGCAACTCTCCAGTAAGAGGACACCTCTCTACAAAGGACTGATTTCATCGTTAAAATTAATATTTTTACAAATTAGCAACTCTCCAGTAAGAGGACGGCTCTCTACAAAGGACTGATTTCATCGTTAAAATTAATATTTTTACTAATTAGCAACTTTCCAGTAAGAGGACACCTCTCTACAAAGGACTAATTTCATCATTAAAATTAATATTTTTACTAATTAGCAACTTTCCAGTAAGAGGACATCTCTCTATAAAGGACTGATTTCATCGTCAAAATGACCATTTTTATTATTTAGCAACTCTCCGGTAAGAGGACACCTCTCCCTAAAGGAGACTTTGGCTCTACAACTAGGTATCCTTTACAGAGAGGTTCTACTGTATTGGCATAAAAAATATTTAAATGGGATTTCAAATAATTTTTGCTTTTTCCCACATCAGGTTCCAATTAAGTTCCAAATTCCAATTAAAAAAAAAAACTAATTAATTGTAATTCTAATTTTGGAAAGCAGTGTGGTATTTTTATGGAGAAATTGATTAAAAGTCCCTATCAAACAGATATGAAGAAACGATGCCAAAATAGCTCAGATAAATGTAAACCTTTGAACAAAGGGCCACTGACCTATCATCTAATCACTGGTCTCTCTTGGCCAATTAAAAACAAGATTACATTCCTCTACAATGACACATAGTGTCTGTGTGGGTTATGTCTTTTTGATACAAGCTCTCAAATCACTGATAATATTATATTCCTAATCTAAAGTGTGTCTGGGTTATATCTTTGTTTGCAATTTCTTAAATCATAGAATGAAAATGTCATAACATATTACTTTCTTGAATTAAAAAGACTAAAGTGTCTATGTGGGTTATTTATTTTTGGTTACAAGATCTCAAATCACTGATAATACAGCAACAACAAAAAGCTTTATTAAGACCTTTTAGTCTTTTAGATTCTCCAAGTAGAAATGTAGGATAATCACTGATAATATTATAATCCTAATCTAAAGTGTGTCTCAATTATATCATTTGTTTGCAATTTCTCAAAATCATTGAATAAAATAAAAATGTCATAACCTATTACATTCTTGAATTAGAAGGGCTAAAGTGTCTATGTGGGTTATGTCTTTTTGTATATAAGATCTCAAATCATTGATAAAATAGTCATTATTATATTCCTAATCTAAAGTGTGTCTCAATTATGTCATTTGGTTGCAATTTCTCAAATTCATTGAATAAAATAAAAATGTTATAACCTATTACATTCTTGAATTAGAAAGACTAAAGTGCCTATGTGGGTTATGTCTTTTTGTATACAAGATTTCAAATCACTGATAATAGAGTCATTATTATATTGCTAATCTAGAGGGTTTGTGTTATGTCAGTTGTTTGCAATTTCTCAAATCACACAATAAAAATGTCATATATATAACCTATTACATCATTGAATTATAAAGGCTAAAGTGTCTTTGAGGGTTATGTCTTTTTGGATACAAGCTCTTAAATCACTGATAAAATAATCATTATTATATTGCTAATCTAGAGGGTTTGGGTTATGTCATTTGTTTGCAATTTTAAAATCATAAAATGAAACTGTCATAACTTGAATTGGAAGGGCTAAAGTGTCTGTGTGGGTTATGTCTTTTTGTATATAAGCTCTCAAATCACTGAATAAGATAGGTTGATTTCATATTACACTGGTCCGCAAAATTAAAGGAACAACACATGTTTAAGAAAAAGAAAAGTTATATTAAGGGATATATATCAAGTTTTGGTATATTCAAAAGCTTCCATGAATTAAGAGAGTATGTAAAACAGAAAAACAAATAAAGTTGTTCCCAATATGCAAAATACCACCGTCTACATTGACTCCGCCTCTAGCACGTGCCTGAGTCTTTTTCTCAAAGCGTCCTAATTTTACGCTCCACTAGATTTTTATTGAACCTTTTTGTTTTTTAAAGTTTTCATGGCTTATAGGCAACATTTATCACAAGAAAAAAAATGGCAAGATATTGGAAGGATGAAAGCAGGCCAATTACAGGCAGAAGTAGCAAGATGGCTTGGAGTGACAAGAAACGTTGTCTCAAGGCTTTGGAAAAAAATTTCAAATGACAGCCAATGTTGCCAGAACACCCGGACAAGGTAGTGAAGCTTTGTCTAAGTTCGCGCTCGCTGAAGCAAAGTGTGGTCGCCAGAGAGGTATATTTGAATAACTGACTGATTTTTAGGTCATTTTTTGATGAGTAGAAATAAAGTGGAGTGCTAACTGATGTTGTAAGAAGGATTACAATCCCATCTTACTGGCCTCATTTTTTCTCCTACTTATCTTTCATAAGGATAAACTGGAGAACTTTTTGTAGACCATTTTTTACGTGTTTTTGTCACATTTTGTTCTTTTTTACACACAGTAGATTGTGATAAGATTTATCTTCGAGAGAGTGTAGATCACTTGTATAGAGTGATTGGATGTCATCGAATGGTAAAAAAACTCCGCCTTTGGCGGTCACAAGCCTGGTGAAAAAGGAGTAGGGGGAGCAGTAACAAGCTCGGTAAAAAACCTAGGCTCACCTGATAGTACCCTGTAAGGGCTCCTAAACCAGGGATACAGGATGAGTAGCCTTTGTACTCCATGTTAGGAACCGCTGCACATCTCGTCTGTTCCTCATGTCAGAGGCGGCCATTTCTTTTGGAGCTAAGTCGGCCTGCCACTGAGTAGTGCACCCAGTCTTAATGACAAAGGCAGACGCATTCTACTTCAACCAATCACGATGATGGTAGAATCAAGCTCTACAAGCTTGATACCCTAATATGTGATTGAGTAGAGATAAGAAAGAAGAAGAGAAGAAATGGTAAAAAGTGAATAGAAAATGATCAAAATATTTGTGAAAAGAAACATCCGCGTCTTAATGTATTCATTCGTTATATATAAATGGCATGTTATTGCTTTGTATTAATTTGTGCCAAATTTTTTCTTATTGTTTGCGGAAGAGCATTGCTTGATGCAAATATTTGAATGTAATGTCTTAAAAGCTTATGTCCATAGTTTCCTTAAATACCATTTCTAAGATTCAACCCTTCAGTGTAGCATATAAAATCAAAATGAACCAATACAGTATTAGAGCTTTAAAGAAGCGGTCTGGTAGATTAAAAAAATTGGCAAAACCGCTGGGAGGGTTTACCACTGATGAGCTAAGCCCTCCCAATATTTTTTTCATGGCAGTAAGGACAGTAGAAGTTTGATTTATTTGTGAAAAGAAACATTTGTCTTAATGTATTCATTATATATAGATGGCGTGTTATTGCTTTGTATGATCAAAATATACCTTTTGTATTAACTCTCTCTAGCTTTACTACTAGTCAAGGTAAAAATGAGCTTACAGTACTTCTATGAGAGGCCATCTCTCTACAAAAGACAGTTTTTATCAATTAGATGCTCTCTGATAATAGGAAACCTCTCCCTAAAGAATGGCTGTGCAAATATGCTTTGCCATCTACAAAGAGGTTCTACTCAAGGTAATAAATCCAAATAAATAAATAGTGTGTGACGTTTCAGCGACAGGGTCTTTATTATCATCGGACTAAAGTACTTGCTAAGTAAAATGGCAGGTGGCTTTAACAGCAGGTAGCATAAACAAGGTAGAGGACAATCCCAGCCTAGCACAACCCTAGCCTCACAAGGTAATAAAACCAAATCCAAATAAATACGGTAACAGTGTTGTTACCATCATCAAGTACTTTGTCTGATGATGGTAAAATTGCTATTACCGAAATGTTACACACTATTTATGTTATATGTGATCATATTATCTCTCATCTTATTCATTGTTTAAGAAAATATGTAAATATATTATTCAAGATATAGATATACAATTCTCAACCTGCAAACCACATCATTGACTCATCCATTGATGAACTCTACTCATCCCCAGCAGACACCATCAACAAAGCTCTACAAGCTCGATATCCTAATATGATTGTTGAGTGGAGATAAGAAAGAAGATAACATATATATATTTAATTTGTTTAGTTAGAAACTACAATATATGTAATTTATTGTAAAAAGTTTTTTACAGTTTATTTCCATATTTAGGTTTTGTGAGCATAAGGTTTTTAGTAGAGTTTAATATTTTCTTTTGAGCAGACATTGATGAAGCTCAAATTATTTTTAACACATCTCATTTTTTAAATTTGTTTTATAAATTTAATCAGTAAGAAAGAAAAAAAATCCTTCTTTCATTTATAAGAAAACTTATAAAGGTAAATATTCCCTATAAAAAAAATTATTTGGATTTAGTCTTATTACCTTGTGTTTCTAATCTATAATCCAAATTGTACCTAATCACAACCCTAGACTTTAATATAAATATGTGATACAGTAGAAGTACCTCCCTGTAAAGGACAACACCTAAATGCAGAGCCAAAGTGTCCTTTAGGGAGTGGTAACTTTTTACCCAGAGAGTTGCTAAATATGAAATATGGTAATTTTGTAAATGAAAACTGTCCTTTGTAGAAAGGTGTCCAAGAGCCAAAGTGTTCTTTAGGGAGAGGTGTCTCCTTACTGGAGAGTTGCTAAATAGTAAAAATGACAATTTTGTAAATGAAAACTGTCCTTTATAGTGGTGACCTCTAGCGCAAGTGTCCTCTTCAATCCTGGTTCAAATTCACATAAATAGGTACCGCTCAGCAAGAGCAACCTAGTTCA